GTCTTCCTTTTCTTTGCTACTCTTAATCTTCAGGTCTCAATTTAATTAATATTTCTTCCAGAAAGCCTTCCTTGACCCACTTTCCACACCCCAACTATACCACCAGGCTGGGTTAGATAACCTGTTATTTGACTGCCTTTGTACTTGTTGACTGAATTAAAACACACATGCATGAAGCAGTCCGAGTGATAAGTAATCCTTATCAGTTATGTAATACTGAAGTGGACTTGTCTCTTTTCTCTGAATGAACTACTGACAGATACAGCAATCAAAATTTGGTGTTAAAAAAGAACTTTTTCTTCCTAGCAGGCTAAAATGGTGACTCTTTAGAAACTTGTGAACCAACCTACAGTCAAACAGTTCTGTGCACGTACACACACACACACACACACACAGTGGGGGGAGTGGAACTAGGAATAAAGTTAGTCCTGGAGAATTTAAGTGGGGCCAGCTCTACAATGATTGAAAATCTGCTGTTCCAGAAAATGTTAGTGGCAAACAATGTATTTTGAGATTTATATGTACTATGTGCCAGTTTAAATTCTTTTAAGCTGTTATAGGTTAAGATCAGGGCCTCTAGAATCAAAGTGTTGGGTTTGTAACCTGGCTAGTGCTGTGATCTTTTGAAGTTACTTGACCACTGTGGGCCTCAATTTCCTTGTCTAAAATGGGATATATAATAGGGTTGTTGGGAAGACTGAATAAAGTAATCCATGTAATATACATAGAACAATGCTTTGTATATAGTAAGCAGTTTTTTAAAAAATGGTTGCTGTTATTAACTGAAATTATGGCACCTAATGATGAAATAAGCACTGGTAGTAATGCTGGTTAAATACTCAGCTGTTAACAGAAGGTTGGCGATTCAAACTCACCAGCCACACCACAGGATAAAGACGTGGCAGTCTGTTTCCTTAAAGAGCCTCGGAAACTCTGCGGGACAGTTGTACTCTGGTTTGTTCTGTAGGGTTGCTGTGAGTCGGCACTGACTCACCAGCGATGGGTTTTGGGTTTAGTGATGAAGTAGTGAATAAAAATGGGTCTCAGAGAGCTGACTCATCTCAGAGTGGGTAATTGGACATAGTGTATTCTTCAATGCCAATCCTGAAGGTTGTTGTTATGTGCCATCGAGTCGGACCTGACTCATAGTGACCCCCCTTGGGTTTCCAAGGCAGTATCACTACGGAAGTAGGTTGCCCCATCTTACTTCCTTCCGAGGAGTGGCTGGTGGGTTTGAACCACTAGCCTTCTGGTTAGCAGTCAAGTGCTTTAGGCACTATGCCACCAGAGCTTCATCCTGAAGGTAGGGATATATAATCCAGATAACCACCAAAGAGTGTGTGGGCATGGGGGAGAGATGCCTGTGAACACTGAAGTGTAAAAGGACATTTTATCACTGGCTTAGTTGAACTCATGTACAAAAAGGTCTTCTTACCTTCTTGAGAACAGGGACCAGGTTTCCATTCCCCAAATTCAAAATGGTATCTGGAAAGTAGTTGGTTTTCAAATGTTTCTTCAAAAAATGCCCACCACTACCTGCAAATATGGTATACTACTGTATGCTGCTCTAGGTTTTCCATGATCTTCTGGGACATGAATTCTGAAGCTGAGCATTTTGTTTCAGGACCTCCAGTAATCTCTTTGCTTCTTCCCTCCCACATATACACGCACATGCGTGCACGCAAACACACACACACACACACATTCATACATACCTCCCTATATCAAACTAGAGATGAAAAGAGCATTGAGCTCATCCATGACAACCATAGCCAGGTCACCCTGGAGGTGGTGAGACCATTTTGGGTAATAACCTTTATCACATTCAACAAAGTGGCCAAAAGAATAAATGGTAATTTGGTTTTTCCCTTCTCACTGCCTCCATCTTAGTATAGAGCGACTGATAAAACTTAAAATTTAAAAGATCAGGAAGCTAGTTTACAAATCCATTCCCTTCTGCCCAAGTCACTCTCAATAATTACATTTCTTAGATCTCTTTGTGTAAAGATTATCTACATGCTTTGATAGGCCATATTTAAGGGTAGATGACTCCTTTTCTAACTTGTGCCCTGTGTGGGAAAATGAATTTGCATTATCCCAAGTAAATTAAAAGGAACCAATCCACTGGATCCTTAAGCCTTTTAATCACAAAGTATTTATTGAACAAAAATAACAATAAAAATGATACATATGAAAGTGAGTAGAGATTTGCAGTCATAGAAAAGATGATGTGTACAAAGAGACCAATGTTCAGATTACAGTTTATAAAACTTTAGCCAAAACAGTTTAACACTGATCAAGTAGACATATAAAAAGAAAAAAGAGAAAGTTATTTAATGTTTTTTTTGGAACCTATTTTCTGACTAAAAGACTTCCATTAAAAAAAAAGAACGGGCAGAGATAACAGGGTTATAATTCAATACCTCCAGTTCTCCATCAAAAATTATATATTTCCATTTCTAATAAATGTACAGAGTATACATTTATTCACAGTATTTGGAGAAAGAATAAACAATCAGATTTATAGTCATTTGAGTATTTCCAGTCAGCATTTGCATTTAAAAATGATACGGAAAGTATTTTTGGAGGAGATTATTATACAATAACTTTGTAGCTTCTGTCAAAGAATCTTACATTTTAGATGTGTTCTTTTATCTGGAAAAAAAAAAAAAATGCTGTATATCGCCCTGATTTTTCTTCCTAACATACAGTTTCAGGCCAATCTTACCTATAGCTAGGCACCAGAAACAGAACTAGACTGATCAACAACCATTCTTCTAGCCTCAATTAGTACAGCCCAGCTTTTCCTGTGCACACGTCTTCATCTGTAAACAGGTGGTTGAAATTATTCTCGAAGGCCTCTTCTAGCTCTAACATTTTGTGTGTGGTGAATATTAGTTCCCTGGACCCACGTCTTTTATTTTAGCATAGAATTACCCTGAGCCTCTGAGGGGGTGACAGTAGTGTCTGTGAATGCTGGAAATGGTCCCATTATATAGTCAAAGATGCATATTAGACCTTTTGGATGTTTTCCCTCAGTAAAGACTACATAGTCCCTCACACACAGATGTTCATTTCCAATGGAAAATACTAGACTCTGCACACATTATAACAAAATTTTAGTTTGAAAATTCAATCATTTAGCCACATTTCAAATTGGCTTATATTACTTGTAGTTAGTTAAGGATTTTACATAACCTAATCTTGAAATTAGGTGTCCCTGGTTGGTGCAGATAATTAACACACTCAGCTGCTAACAGGAAGGTTGGAACTTTGATTCTACCCTGAAGTGCCTTGGAATAAATGCATGCAATCTACTTCTGAAAAAAATCAGCCTTTGAAAACCCAGTGGATCCCCGTTCTACTCTGACACACATGCGGTTTCCATGGTCAGAGGCAACTCGATGGCAAGTGGTTGGTGTAATTTTGAATTTAAAGCTCTGGGCACTTTCCAGCTTTCTTACATTAAACCTTCCTGCTTCATGTACAGAACAATGCCTTTAGAGAGTAGGGCCTGCCGATTTTCTGAAGGATGAGAAATTGTTTCTAATATCACTTACTTGACTGCAGAATATGCCAAAATGTTATATAATCAATCAGCCAGTTTAGTTCCACAAGGTTCCTGAAGAATTTTCTTTTCAAAATCAGATTTCCTTCATCTCCACCATAAATTTAATAATAAATACATAAAGCAGAGTGTCCTACCTTGATGTTTTCAATTTCCACAAACCCAGACCAAACCCACTGCCATCAAGTTGATTCCAAATCACAGTGACCATCCATGACAGAGCAGAACTGCCCCACAGGGTTTTCAAGGCTGCAAATCTTTATGGACACAGATTGCCTCATCTTTCTCCTGTGGAGCTGGTGGGCTCAAACCACCAACCTTTCTGGTAGCAGTCGAATGCCTTGGCCACTGCACCACCAGAACTTCTTAATTTCCACAAGCGATATCTATACACCTGGAGGAACTCAATGTTAAATTGGTAGCTGATGTTGGAAAGTTGTTTCTTGCTTGCTTGTATTCATTACCAGTTGAGCTTTCTCTAAAGCATTAGCTCTTTCAATGTTAACAATGATTCCAGGGTTGACACAGTAAGTATATCAAAGGGTGTAATTCTTTATGGAAAACTGGGAGTACTAGGCCTAGTTATTTGCAATAAGAACATGTTAACCAAAGAAGCAGTCTAGGAGCATGGATGAATGGACTTAATGTAGCTTTTCCATCTCAGATTTTTGCTTGGGAGGAGTATAAAAGATGCTGTAAACAGCCAGGAGGCTAGCCTTTCAGAATTTATTAAAAAAAAAAAAAAAAAAGCACTTAGAACATTTACTTTTATGAGTGTTTATTGTCTAAATATGGCTTAGTTTGCTCTTATAAAAACATCACTTGGACATTACATTTACTGAATTCTAGTCCAAAAGAGGTTCTAAGGCAATTCTTATATAATTGAAAGCACAAAAGAAAAAGTAATATGAATATGCTTTCATATTGCCTACTTGTGAAAAATAATGTTCTACTAGAGAGTTGTTTGATACTAATTTTTGTCTTTCAAACATTTTCTCTTAATACTAAAAAATATATAAATCATTTACATAAAACTAACTGCGAAGGAAGGCACAGCTGGTTATAGTGTCTATAAGCACAGTTCAGCATATGCAGATTAAAGGGAAAACAAGCTTCACATCCTTATTAGTTACACTGAAATCCATTAAGAAATGTTCCTCACTGTCAACAGTGTTCAACACTTAAGAGCTAAGAGGATATTAAAAAGAAAACAAACATTAAAATTCATTTAATGCAAAACAGATTTTCATATATACTTGAATATAAAAAAAACAGTTTTAAAAATGCTAACATAAATCTAGACTATCCATGTTATGAAAAGTGCAAACCAAATTAACAGTTTCACAATGTCCTTCTCATGACACAGGTAAACTAGTCCATGGGGACAAATTTGTTTCCTCGTTAATGAGTCCTTAATTGCGGCCAGACGTCATCAGGATTTCTGAGAGCTGGAAGAAAGCAGTACTGGAGAAGCAGCTCTGTCCAGACTGGGGATTGGCACTGGCATGTGGCCGTTCAGCAGTGTTGGGAACTGTAGGGAATCAAAGAGTTCAAATAATTGTTGCAAACTCTATTTGGAGGAATTTAGTTCTTCACATTCCTAGACACATCAGAGTAGATCAGTTCTTCCATCACCCTTGTGATGGAGGCCAGTTGCCAATCCCTTTTACAGAATAAGTAACTAGAAGGTGAGAATGAGACCAAGACTACAAGATGCAAGCAGGATAAGACCCAGAAAATACCCTGAATCACTTCATAAGGGTAGGCTAGTAGAAAAGAACGTGCTTTGTCGTCACTAAAGAATGTTCTAACAACACTATAGGAAAAGAGGCTCCAAGCCACTTAGTTAGAATGCTGATTTCCTTAAATACTAAGAAAAAAATGAATTTTGAAGATAAATTGATTATTCACATGTCAGTTATTTCTAATATTATATTTTGAAATTTACCATTGGTTTTCCAGAGGGATGTTTTCATCTTGAAAGATTAAGAAGAAAGATCATCTTTATTTTGAAGCTGAGAAATTGTTCTTTCTAATTGAAATGATCGATCATATCAAAGTCACCAACAGCAGCACTCAATAAAATGTCTTCATTGTTTGTAATTAAGATGATAAATAATAGGATGAAAGTATATGCTTTGATTACAAGTTTCAGATCTGAAAACAAACATATCAGCTGTACTCCCAGCTGTACACAAATAATTCAGGGCTTACTTCTAGTACACAGCTACGCAACACTAGATTGTCCTTGTCTAGTATGATGTGTGTCAAAATGACCTCCTAGGCTGTCTTCTGGCTTAATTCATATTTCATCCAGATGAGTTAAATATTAAACTTCACCTAAACATTAAATACCAAACTCCAGAAGCTGGCATAGGTTAGAACTACAGAAAATATTTGTAAAACAAGTAAATACATTTTCGCAGTTTTCAAGTTATCTCAGGAACTGTTACATGTCTAGTGCCTAGACAGTTTGCCTCATCCTAGTTTTCACTACCTACTTAATCCGCAAGTCCAACTAAAAGACTGCCTCTCAATATTACCTCTGAAACGTCCTCGAAGTCTCTCCCTGTTTCCACTGTTCTCATCTAAAAGATGATTCTTCCTGGTATTTGGAGTAGTGTAATAAATTTCCTCCTATCTTCCTGCCCCTTACATTTTCTCTTCAGTCCCTCCACACTGCTATCAGTGATTTCTTTATAAAATAGTGAGTTCATCAGACCACCCCTAGCTTTAAAAGGCCTTTGGTTGGGCTGACTTAACTACAGATTAAAATGCAAACCCGTGAGCATGCCATGCAAGGCCCACACCTGCTTTTGCAGCCTGATCGAGTCCCTTGCTGAGAGGCTATGGACCTTCACACCCAGATCATGCGGTCCTCAGCTGACACCGTGCTCCGCCCCAGCTGACTGACACCCTTCGGAGCCTTTGCCCAGCTCCTGTTAGCTTCCTGCAGCACTTCCTTTACCATCTATTACTCATACATCGAATATCCCCTACATCCCTGTCTCAGATCATCACAAATATTTGCTGGGTTTACATTTGTTGAAATAAAAAGTACAGAAATCGTTCTCAACTGAAAACATAATGGGCTCTGCTTTGTTTCAAGATGTGTTTGGACCTACGAAGCATGCTCCCCGTTTGTTCAAAGTCTATTTCAACAGCTCTGGTGGAACAAGCTCAGTCTGCCAAGCCGTCCAGCTGAGACAGGATTCCCTTTTATGTGGTAAATGTTCTCGATCTACAAGAGCACAAAGGTCTCCAGCACCTCTCTCTGTTCTGAAACAGGTCTCGCCAACAGAGCAGACCGCTTTTGGAAAAGCTGAGGTCGTCTCCCTCCTTCTCGCTCTTCAGTGTCCGCTCTCACTTGGACTGATAATCGTATCAGGGATCACTTCCGCAAAAACGCTTCAGCTCTGTCAACAATCACTGCCAGTGATCACAATCACAACAGGAATCTTGCCAACATCGTTTAAAATTTACTGTCGATCAAATCTTACGTTTTTTCCTTCTCCAGCACATGTAGAGCATATGTGAAAGAGGACTGTTACTTACTTTGAAAAAAATATTTTCATTAGTATAAAAAGGGGCACTGTTGATAGTAATCAAGATTTTGAATAGTCACAATTTGTAATGTCTAGTTTTAAAAATGAGAAAGTATTAACTCCTTTTACCATGCTTTCCACTTTCAAAATTGCTGCTTTCCACTTTTATCACACTCAACTGCTCTTTTCATAGTAAGAGTAATACTGTATTTAAAGGTATGAAATTGCTTTCCTTAGTCTCATGGATCCAACCACCAAAGAAGGGCCCTGGCCAAGCCACGTGTCAGCCGTTCAGGAAGGACTGTACTTTTTATTCAGGTATATTTTGAATGGCTCCAGGAGAGGACAGGCCATTTGGTGAAAATATAATTTAAATTCTGAGTAGGTAGCCTTTAAATGTGGGAATCACTTCTGCAGGTGGTCTGCAGTGGTTCTCAAAGTACAGTTCTTGGACTACCACCAGCAGTAGCACGAAGGAACTAGAAAGAAATGCTACCACCAGGCCCCAGCCTAGACCTGAGTTTGTTGAATTAAAATAAATTCTCAACATTCCGAAACTCTGGGAGTAGAGTCTGGCAATCGGTACTTCAACGCATCCTTCAGGTGACTGGCGCTATTGGACAATAACTGAGAGTCTCTGGTCTCCACTGCATTCAAATGTTTGGGATCACTGTGGACATGAACCTTTTTACTTTGGGGATTATTTCTCAACTCTGGAAAAAGTTAGTATAGAAAGCAAGGGAACCCAAAGAACTCCTAACCAATGGTTCTCAAATCTCACCAAGCACTCCACCAATCAGATGCCGAATTCCCAGAAAGGAGGGAAGTGAGACGCCATTCGTTATTCAAATACCTACCATCCATCAGGCCCAGTGTTAGATGCTAGGATTAGAGTTAGTATTGCTGTCCTTACCCTCCATGCAGCTTACGGTTGGCATACAACTCCTTTCTGCTCTATTTCAATTGTGATTCATGGTGACCCCATTAGAACAGCTTCATAGGGTTTTCAAGCTGTGTGACCTTTCAGAAGCAGCTCACCACGGCTTACTTCCAAGTAGGTCAGAACTGCCAACTTTCCAGTTACTAGTCTGGCGCGCGACCATCTGTACTACCTGAGGACCAATACTAGAATACGGCTGCTTCAATCTTGAGGCCTTCAGGAAATGAAGTCTTTTAGTTCTCCACCAAAAGATCACTAATTCCTAGCCTAAAACTTTCCCAATACTACATCTGCTCACTGCTTTTTGCTCAGCTGTTTCTAGTTTTGGTTTCCCTGCCTGAGATCAAATGGTTAAGAATCAACATGTGGGCTGTGCATGACCACAGCTCAGTTTTTTGCAATGGGAATGTAGGCCAAGAGAAAGAAACCTAATTACCCCAGGGATACAGTCACATCATGACACCCTATCCCAACCTCTTTAGGAAACCAAAGAAGCAAGATAGCCATCAAAACTTCTTTATCTCCACCCTTCTTCCAAGGAGACCCTAAATCCCAGCATGCCGAGCTCCTGGCCCAGAGTTGATACTCGGTAAATAATAACCTAGACGAGGAAAGTGACCTGCTCAGAAAAGCATGGTGAGCAGATGTTTTTAATGCCTTTCTTAAGACATCTCCAGGGAATTCTTAGTATTGATTTAATCAGTTAACAGTAACTACTGAGCATCACTTAATGTGCCAAGATATGTGCTAGACACTGGGGGACACGACATTGAATAAGATGTACTTCCAAGCTCTTGGGGTCGACAGTTTGGTCAAGGTTAAGGAATCTGGCTGCTAACCCAAAGATCAGTGGTTCAAATCCAGTAACTGCTCCATGGAAAAAAGATTAGCAGTAAAAATTTACACCTTGGAAACCCAGTGGGGTCGCTGTGAGTCAGAATCAGCTCAATGACAGTGAGTTTGGTTTGGAGTTTGGGGTCCACAGTTTAGTGTGTGTGTGGGGGGGCTTGCCAGATGAACCTTTTTGGGTTCCAAAGAGGAAATACCATTTCCACATGACAACAAGTGATGCCATTGCAAGATTCTAGTGTGTGCATGAACAGTGAACATGTATGGATGCACCCACCTGGCCCAGGGAGCTCTGCAAGGTAAAGCAGCTGACCTGGATTGTTTTTTAACCCAATATCCTGGATGCTTGGGGTTTATTATGGAAGAAGGGGCACTTGACTGATTCATGGACTTAAGCAGATACCTTTCCTCTCACAGTATGAAGAAATCATTCACTACTTCCTTTTTTAGTTTCTTTCAAGTGATGTTAATATTTCAAAATCTTTAATGAGCTTTTAGAAAAAATAATTTTTAAAGTTTTGCCTTATCCAAAACCCTTCGAGAACTACGTAATTGTTCCATTTACCTAACATGAGTAAGCCATTCATCCTTCAATGACAATTTCTGCCACTGAATGGTGTACCAACCCCATTAAGGTGAATTTCCTTTGGAAACTTAACACCTCAAGCAAACATAGGGCAAAGCTCATTGTTACTCTGCAGGACTTATAGGGGAGGAAATTCCTTAGAAGTTCTGTATTTAAAAGGGTTCGTGTCCAAATGCTCACCTGGAACAGCGTGTTTGGCCCTTGCAGCCTGGCAGGACTCAGCGGAGCAACTGGACTAAGGCTGCTCCAGAAATGTATGCTGGATAGCAGTGGACTCGGGGTCAAAAGCAATCCATTTGGTGTCTGGGAAAGAAAGCAAATAGACAATTCTTGACGGAGGTATCGCTTGGCTCCTGCCATGATCAGCAGCAGCAGAGTGGTCAGGTATGCTAGCGATGGGCCAAGAAAATAAGCCTCGCCATCTCAGGCACAACTTCATTCCTGCAAGCCTGGACCCAGTTTAATTTTACTTTCTTCGATTGCTAATGGTGTTAGCAGTTTTGTCAAGGAGAGAGGTATTGACAAGTTACCATCCCTAATCATTGTAAGTGGGAAACTCAAGGTTGGAGCAACTTTTGCCTGTTGTTGTTATGTGCCGTTGAGTCGGCCCCGACTCACAGCGACCCCTCCTTGGATTTCCGAGGCGATATCACTACGGACATAGATTGCCCAACCTTCCTTATGAGGAGTGACTGGTGGGTTTGAACTGCCAACCTTCTGGTTAGCAGTCAAGTACCTTAGGCACTACACTACCAGAGCTCCCAACTTTTGCCTAGGTGGTTTCTTTACCTCGTTTCACCACCAGATTTAAAAAGAGGATTTAGTGTCCAAGCAAAACAGAATACTATGAGTGGGTTTATTTTTCTCTCCCTATATTTTATTTTCTTCCCCCCCCCCCTTTTTTTCTCCCCCCCCCCCCCCCCCCTCTCCCTATATTTTATTTTCTTCCCCCCCCCCCCCCCCAGTTTCTACATGTACAACTCAGTGACACTGACTACGTTCTTTGAATTGTGTAACCATTGTCCTTTTCTGAGTTGTTCCTCCCCGAGTAACATAAATTCACTGCCCCCTAAGATGCCAATCTAAGGAGCTCTGGTGGCATAGTGCCTGAGGCATTTAACTGCTAACTAGAAGGTTGGTGGTTCGAACCCACCATCCACTCCACGGAAAGAAGATTGGGCAATCTACTTCTGTAAATATTTACTGCCTCAGAAACCCAAAGGGGGTCGTTATGAGTCAGAATCGACTCGATGGCACTGAGTTTGGTTTTTGGTTTAAGGTGCCTATTCAATACGTTGACTTGCCGTTGTCACTTTCATCCTACATGAATGGTTCTTCAAAGAGCACGATGCTCAAGGCAGAGCTTTCTGACTAGTGAAGCTGCACTACTGTTTGGTTTTAAGAAGACTTCAGGGGCTATTTTTGGTTTGAGGTTTAAAGATTATCTCAGGGCAATAGTTTCAGGAGTTCATCCAACCTTCGTGGCTCCAGAAAATCTGGAGTCCATGAGAATTTGAAAATTTTGTACTGCATTTTCTCCCTTTTGATCAGGATTCTTCTATAGAATCTTTGATCAAAATGTTCAGGAACATTTCACAATCCAACTCTTCTCGTCATGTGGTAAAGGAGACAGTTGTGCACAGAGGTGATCAGGCACCCATCCTCCATCCTCCTCCTATTCCCGACTCTCCTTCCTCTGACGTTCCAGGCATATAGACACTAATTGCTGTGCCATGGATGGCCACTTGCAAACTTTAAGACACTAGGCATCAAATTAGGAGGTAGAACAGAAATACTAAACTTGTTATTAGAGTTAATTGGGACATCCCATGAAACTGTGACCCTAAACCTCCAAACCAAGAAGGCCAATCCCATGAGGTATTTGGTTGTACATAGGCAGCTTCAGTAGATACTTTTTTTTGGCATTATAAATTCAACTTTTTACAGGTGTACAACTTATTGAAAATACTTAAAATAATCAGCTGTGGAACCCTACCCTTAAATAACATATTTCCATCACCATTAACCTCCATTTTCCTCCTCCTTCCTGCTCCTGGTAACCATTAATAAACTTTGTTCTCTAAATTTTTTAATGGAAGTGAGGTCATACAATATTTGTCCTTCTGTGACTTATTTTATTTCACTCAGCATAATGTCTTATAGCTCCATCCATATTGTAACATGTATCAAGAGTTCATTTCTCCTACTGCCTGAGTAGTAGTCCACTGCATGTATGTACCACATTCTGTTTATCCATTCATCTGTCAATAGGCATTTAGGCTGTTTCCACCTTTTGGCTACTGTGAATAGGGCTGCAATGAACATTGGTATACAAGTCTCTGCCATCAAGTCTTTCACTTTTACTTAGAATTGGGATTGCTAGGTCATACAGTAGTTGTACTTTTAGTTTTTTGAGCCACCACCACACCATTTCCCACAACAGCTATACCATTTGCATTCCCACCAGCAATGGGTAAGGGTTCCAGTTTCCCCACATCCTCACCGAAATCTGTTATTCTCTGGTTTCATTCCCCCCATCCCCACCATCTTAGTCATCCTATTAGGAGTGAAATGGTATCTCATCATGGTTTTGAATTGCATCTCTCTTGATAGCCCATGACACTGAGCATTGTCTCAGTGGGCATTTGAATGTTCTTACCTATATTTTCAAGGAGCTCTGGTGGTGCAGTGCCTAAGGCATTTGACTGGTAACAATAAGGCTGAAGGTTCAAACTCACCAGCTGCTCCATGGAAGGAAGATGGGGCAATCTACTTCCATAAAGACTTACCACCTCAAAAACCCAGTGGGGGTTGCTATGAGTCAGAATCGACTCAATGGCAGCAAGTTACCTATATTTTCTTATTTCTCTACAGCAAAGATCCATTATTTTGGTTTCACACACAGATAATTTTAAAGGCCTCCCAAGCTCTGGTAGTGTAGTGCCTAAGGCACTTGAATGCTAACCAGAAGGCTGGAGGTTCAAACCCACCAGCTACTCCTCAGAAGGAAGGTTGAGCAATCTACTTCGTAGTGATATGATCTCGGAAATCCAATGGGGGGGGGGGTCACTATGAGTTGGGACACATAACAACAACAACAACAAGCCTCCCTATCCCTCTCAATGGCCCTTTAATACTTCAGGATCTACTAGTCAAATACTCTGCAACAGCTTCTTCAGAAGCTCCGAGCTGGCTTTTCCAGATTTCACTCCAGCGTAGGGTTGAAGAGAATTCATCTCCCTGGTAATTGTTTTAAAAAACTCCTTTCTTGTCAGATTGGATGTAAATCCAAAAATCTGGATTTCCTAAGAGAGGGCCAAGGCTCACGCTGGCTTGCACACATGCAGCAGGAGTCCAGGCCTGCCAGGCAGGTAGAGAGCAGAGGAAACCACCCGCCCAGCTGCTGAATCTGTGTGGCTTTGATGCTCAGAGGAGACAGGCTCCCTGGCCCAGGGCAGTTTTGCACCTCTGGTGACTGGAAGGAGCCCCTCAGGGTTTTTGTGATGTCAGCAATTGTATAAGAAGAGTCACAGCAAAGGCAGCGTTTCAGATGTCAGATTGCATGGCTGGATGCTAAAGAGCTGCTTTCCTAGAACTACTCTCAGCAGCTTAATTAATTATCAAGAGCATTCGGTTTAAATCTCCACTGAAAGGTCTGCTGTGTTCAGCGGAATAGAAGAAAAACATCCAAACTGTAAAGCTTCTGGAAGGTAAACTAATTTGTACCGTTATTTACACATTTGGTTCCACGCCACTTCCTTCATACTGCATGGCCAGTGAGGTTCCTTCAATAAATACATGTTTTGAATAAGCTTCACATTCGTTCCAGTCCAAGGCAATTTCTCAAGTGTTTGAGGCCATCTTGCTTAATTGTTAAGGATTAATGGTTAACAAGGGCTCTGCCAGGGGTCCAATCTCAGAACCACTACTTCCTAGTGAGGTAACCTCCAGCAAGTTACCTAACTGCTCTATCTTTCAGTTCCCCAATCTGTAAAATAAAATAAAAAATGCCTGCATTACAGGGTGGTCAGGAAGATTAAATAAAACTGTGTAAAGTTCTTAATACCATCCTAGTGCCTAATACATGTTCAACAAATGTCAGATACTGTTATCACGCTAAGTACTTAATGAACGTTTTTGAATGAATAGATGAATTAGTACTTAGTGGTAGTCTCTGACGAATTTCAGTTACAACAAACTGTACTTACAACCACCTTTTTTTTTTATTGTACATCATTAGTAATATACACTCCATTCAAAACTGTAAGCAATACTGCATCACCAGAGCTCCTTAAAGATACTGATAATAAAAGGCAATTATAACAAAGGGCAGCAAGATATTCGACTTACGTGGGAACCGACTTAGAACCAACTTATGATGGTATCTTCATAAGGTAACCCTGTCGTAAGTCAGAGACTACCTGTAATTGAAAGTGTACCAGGCAACGGTTCA